GCCCTTCAGTATCTGTCTATATTTCTGAGATGAGGTATTATGTACACTATTTACATTATTCGGATTATTGTCTTCATCTTTGTCGCCATATTTATCACAACGTTTCGGCCTTTTATGTACACTATTTATATTATTCGGACTATTGTCCTCATCTCTGTCGCCATATTTATTACAACATTTCGTCGGTTGTACGCTCCGGCCTTCTTCAGGTGGTTGGAATGTCGAACTGAACCCTTTATTTCGCTCATTGGGTAAACTGTTCTGGTTCCACGTGCCATGTTTAGTGGATGTCAGTTGTCAGTTATCTCCTGTTAATTCCCCTCTCCAAGTTCTCCACTGCCTTAAACGAATATTGAACTCACACACTTTGGGTCCTGTCACTTGATCTAACTAGCGGCTTTATCCACTGTGCCATGTATCCTTGACATCCATCAAACATGGCATGTGGAACTAGAACACTCTACCCCAGCGAGCGAAATAAAGTTTTCAGTTCGAGATTCCAACCACCTGAAGAAGGCCGGAGCGTACAACGGCTGAAACGTTGTAATAAATATGGCGACAAAGATGAGGACACTAGTCCGAATAATGTAAATAATGTGCCCACATTCTATTCGGAAAACAAAAGAAACTCCACTGAAAGCGAATCTAAAAGGCGTTCGGCGAGACGCGTCGTTCATACCTTTTCGACTCATCTTCTCTATAAATGACAGTTTAAAAGTTGGGTTACTCTTTCTAAAATACGTTGCGCCAATACGTTTTATGATGGAGGAATTATAAAAATATAAACCCTTCCTGGGCATGGCAATAAACTACACCCGTGTCCTGGGTAAGACGATAAACTACGTCCAACAGCAAGGCGTCTGATTAAGAGGTTTTGAGGAGCGTCTTAATTGTTGATGTTTCCAGGTCCACCCTACCCCGGGGTGGTAGCACCTGTTAGGGTTCCAGCTATGGGCAAATAGTTAACTCCGAAACTGGGGCAAAACACTATGAAAGTGTAAAAATAGGTTTCAATACCAGAAATACTTTGTAATATATATATATATATATATATATATATATATATTACCAGCAATAAAAATCTTTTTCAGCATTAAATAACACATTGAGGTATTGATATGCCGTAAAACAAAACAAAAAATATAAAATCGAACAATTTTAGAACACATATAATCGCTTCGTAAATGAGATACAAAAGATGAAAATTCCCCAAAACAATTCTCACGAACATATTTATAGAAAAAGGCAGAGAGAAGCTACAAGACAAAAGTTAGAAAGCGTTTGAAGCCGAGATGCCAGGTCTAGTCCGATAACATGGCATATTCTCTTTTGAATTTTGTCAAAAATCTCTAGATACACCGCAGAAAGTTTTAAGAACTATTTAGAGACTATTATAAACTATATTTACTATAACTGACTGGATTATAAGCAACGCAGACACTATTTAGATATCCCTAACATTAAATATTCATTTTCTTTCTGTTAAGTAATCTTCAAGGGGTCATTACCTGAGACTTAGGGTAAGTCAAGGTATTCAATATATGCCATTGTTTACTTGTATTATTTATATTATTCGGACTGTTATCCTCATCTTCATTGCCATATTTACAACGTTTCGGGCGTTATACGCTCCGGCCTTCATCAGGTGATTGGATCTCTGACATGAAGTATTATGATTACTCGCATTATTTACATTATTCGGACTGTTCTCCTCGTCTTCATAGCCATATTCACAACTTTTCAGCCTTTGTACGCTTCGGATTTCTTCAAGTACAACTTAGCGTTGTGAATATGGCAATAAAGATGAAGATAAGAGTCTAAAGAATGTAAATGATAATATTTTAGAGATATAGACAAAAAATATTAATAACGTACTTAACATGTACTGTGATTACTGATATTAAATTATACTTAACATGTAGTGATTACATTTTGATAATACTGTCCTGAGTAAATGAGCAATTCCACATTGCATTTTAAAAAAAATTCTTGTAAACACTGGCTCCCTGAGATCTTTCTGATATTCTTGCCAGTACTTGTTATCGTACAAAACCTACAAATACTCTGCTTGACTTTTGGAAGGCATCTTTCTCTATCGCAGAACTCGTTGTTATATTTCCGTTTTGTTGAAACGGATGTCACAGAATTTTATATGTAGATAAAATGTGGTTTCCTCATCTTTGTTGTTGTAGTTATCACAACGTTTCGGCCACTGTGCCGTCCGGCCTTCATCATTCTCTTCTCTCTTTCTTTTCTCTCTCTCTCTCTCTCTCTCTTTCTTTCTTCCTTTTTTTGTTTCTCTCTTTCCCCCTTTTTCATCTCTTTCCCCCTTTTTCCTCTCTTTCCCCCTTTTTCCTCTCTTTCCCCATTTTTCCTCTCTTTCCCCATTTTTCATCTCTTTCCCCCTTTTTCATCTCTTTCCCCATTTTTCATCTCTTTCCCCATTTTTCATCTCTTTCCCCATTTTTCATCTCTTTCCCCATTTTTCATCTCTTTCCCCATTTTTCATCTCTTTCCCCATTTTTCATCTCTTCCCCATTTTCATCTTTTCCCCCTCTTTCCACTCTTTCCCCCTCTTTCTTCCCCCTTCTCCCCTCTTCCCTCTCCCCTTCTTTCTCCTCTCTTCCCTCTCTCTCCCTCTTTCTCGCTCTCCTTTTCTCGCTCTCCTCTTTCTCGCTCTCCTCTTTCTCGCTCTCCTCTTTCTCGCTCTCCTCTTTCTCGCTCTCCTCTTTCTCGCTCTCCTCTTTCTCGCTCTCCTCTTTCTCGCTCTCCTCTTTCTCGCTCCCCCTTTTGCTCTATCTCCCATTTCTTTGTTTCATCTTTCTCTTTCTTTCCTTCTTTCTCTTCCCCCTTTTTCCTCCTTTTTTCTCTTTCTCCCTCTCCCTTCGCTCTCTCCCTCCCTCTTTTCTTTTACACTCTCTCCCATTTCTTTGTTTCACCCCCCTCTCTCTCTCTCCGAGTTTCACCCCCTCTCTCTCTCTTTCTCTCCGACTGTTCCTGTCTGCAATGAGTAGCAGCTGCAGCAGTCGTCTTTACAGCAGCAAATCTCTAACAGCTTCCTGCAGCCTTGCAAACGCAGCCATCACAGTTTCTTTGTCACCACCTCTTTTATTACTACTACTCTCACTACCACCATTACTGCCACTCTCACTACCACCATTACTGCCGCTCTCACTACCACCATTACTGCCACTCTTTGGCTACTACCACCACTGCTACTACCACTCTATCCTTGCTCCTGCCACCGCCTTGAACAGACGATATTTCGCGTCAGCGAAATATTTGTTAAAAACAAACACTTGAAAAGAAAAATTCAATTTTCTTGATGAACAAAAGACGTTGGCCAGGAAATTGGCGCTGAGCTAAAGTGTCTTTTAGGGCAAGGGTCTTTAGTTCGATCCCCAACGGCGGCTCATCAGTTGAGCCTCTACGACAACGAGAAAAATGTGGGACGCGCACACGTACACATTTCTTATTATGAAAACGTTATATTTAATGGATATGCGTGCCTGCGTTAATACACACACACACACACATATATATATATATATATATGTGTGTGTGTGTGTGTTGTATATTTAGGCAGCAATCCTTCATTTATACATGTTTCATTAAATACGACAGACAAGGTACTGTGATTAAGCGATATATTTATTCTTGTATTCGAACAAGTGTTTTCTTTTCTGGATATAAAGTGTATAGAAACTGTACAAATATTTTATAATTCCTAGTCAATAATATTAACCACGAACACGGCTACAATGTGCTGTGTTCGGAAAATAAAACTTCCCTATAAATCTACAATCATACACACAACTCATACACCCAGTTAAAAAGTAAAAATAAAATTATCCTTGATAATGGCTAAAAGTGTAGGCGAAAACGCTCGGAATTATAGAAAATTTGAACCGTTTCTACACGCTCTATATCCAGAAAAGAAGACACTTGTTCGAACACAAGAAAAATTTTATAAAAAGCTTAATCGCTGTACCTTGTCAGTTTTCTTTAATGAAACATATATACACACACAAAATGTGTGTGTGTATGTATGGTGAAGTGAGAAACGTTTTCGGGTGACGCGTTTTGTCAATTATCACTCCATTGGACTAAGTTTGCTTAGTCCGACGAAATCGTAAAAGACGAAATCTTTATCCTCAAATCTTTCCATAATACATAAAAATTTATATATCGTTATGCCATATATACACACACACACACACACACACATATATATATATATATATATATAGTGTGTGTGTGTGTGTGTATAAAATATTCGAAAATTATAACATAAACATGCTATAAAATCACGACAATAATAACCATTTTGTTTTAACTCTTCTGGTGTCTTAACAAGGTACTGGTTTTAAAAAAAAATAATTCTTTCTTCTACATTCAACACAATCACTTGAGACACCAGAAATTTTGAAACAAAATGGCTATTTTTGTAGAGATTTTATATTATGTTTGTTATAATTTTCGAATCTATACTTGGATTGTGTGTAATATATATATATATATATATATATATATAATATATGTGTGTGTGTGAGGTGCGATAGATAAATTGTCCTCTATCTAACTCAAAAATGAAAATAACACTGACATCTCATTTTAACAGATATATTAACTAAAATTATGCAAAAATTCTAATGAGTAAATTTATTTACTAAATTTGCCATTGGATTCACAGCTTCCAGACGACTTCGGAATCTCCTGCAACCCTTCTCTTTAAGTTTGTGGATGCTGTTATAATCTATCGCTCAACTTCACCACACACTTCCTTCCGGTTTTATGCTTCCTTGTCACCCATTGCGTCTTAGTGGCATTATTGCGTTGATGTGGCCATACTTAAATTCCTATTCATGATTGAGCTGCCATGTCCAGTATTGGCGCAGATTAATCTTTTTGTTGCGTGAAGGTGGTAGATTGATATATATTAAAGGTACTTATCAACTACCTTTCCAAGTATTATTAATTACAGCTCCTGCACATTCAAGCTTACAGCACCTAGTATATCCAAGCGGTCACCCATATAGGTACTAACCAAGCTCGACGTTGCTTAACTTCGGTGATCGTACGCGTTTCAAAGTGATGTGGACGTATACCTACGACGAAAGAGGAAAATCTGCAACAGACAAAAATATGGAAGAACCTAGAATATTAAAATTTGAGGTGTGATCAGTGCTTTAGTTCTGATCATCTTGGTTAGTGTCGATCAAGATGAACAGAACCTAAAGCAACAGTACCACATGGTATTTTAATATGGATTCTCTCGGTCATAGATGATTTCGAGACCAAAAAATTATTCTATGTGCCGTGTCCCTATATATATATATATATATATAGTTTATACGTTATACAGAAAACGTCATTTGATCTGACTTGCTATAACCTTCAGTTACAGAGGAGCGTCTGATTAGCAAAGTCCAAATTACTGTTTATAAATATGTTTATGTATAGCTGAGTGGAAATTATATATATGTATAGTAGCAAATGCCCTTGTTACTATATGAACTACTACGACTACTTAGAATGCTCTATTGAGATTTTCAAATGTTGTTTTATTTTATTTTATTTATTTATTTTTTTTTTATTTTTTAATTTTTTTTTTTAAGCATTTCGCCCCAAGCATGGCGGGAAGCCACTAGGACGCAAGGGGTTACAGAAAGTTTAGAGCAAGATCAGATAGGAGTGATAGAAGAAAGGATGAGGGTAGTGGATAGATCAAGGCAACTGGAAATGTCGATTGACATTACACTTGGAAAGTATTTGCAGAACAGACCGAGGGAGGCGACGGCGCGTCTGTGAGACGAGACGCCAGGGCAGGGCCAACTACATTGCATATCCGCCTCTGGAGCCTATCAAGAACCCCGAGGCAAACATAAGGGGCACCAGACCATATATGGCAGCAGTACTCCATGCAAGGGCGAATTGTTGATTTGTAGATCTGGATATATATATATATATATATATATATATATATATATATATTCTGTTCATATGCCACGGTTTGGATTGAGGAATCTTAGAGCCGAGTTCGTATTCCAGTGGAATCCATTATATTCACTTCCGTGCTAATATCCTTGGGAAAGGTGTGGATCCTCTTCTTCTCCCTCTAGCTATGGGTAAATAGCAGGACAGACTGGGTTCTATAGCCTTGGATGGCAACTGGTCTAGGAGGAGGACAATGAGTTCAAAACCTGCGGAGAGTCGCTTGGGGACCTTGTGGCAAAAAAGTGTGGTTGGTCCTGCACGAAACCTTCACCGCAATAATCAAATCTCATGTGCTGTTGTCGGGCTGTCGGTTTCCTAGCAACTGATCTGCTTGACCCTCATACGTCGAATTTCGACGGGAGAGTCGAATATATATATATATATATATATATATATATATATATATATATATATATATATATATATATAAATTCTGTCTTTCCCTTGTCTGAATCTCTCCACTAGCTCTATATACGTTTTTTGAATGCGGATTATCCCGAGATCAATAATCTGCCCTTCATCTGCTGCTGGAACATCCTGCATTGGGATTTGTGCCTGGATAATGAAGTTTGGATTAAATGAAAAAAGTAGTAATTTTCAAAAGATTTTAATTTATATTGAGTTTAAAGTAAAAAAACAAAAAACAAACTATAAATTTAAAAAAAGGTTTTAAATTCAGTTTGAAATATCTTCAAAACTTTGATTCCGTGGCATTTTGAAGAAATAAAAAGGATTTCCTCAATTCAGAGTTCAAATGAGAGGTTTCATGACGTGTGTTTTGAAGTTCCGCAGAGTTTGCGATTTGAAGAATTCATTTTTCGGCCCAAATCGGTCTTTTGGTCAGAATCAGAGTTAAAGTGAAATTTTGAATTTCTATGGAGTGAATTGTGAAATGAAAGTTATTTCTTCAAAATTATCATTGCTGTTTTCTAAGCTGAACCAGAGATAGCTTTAATTTTGGGCCATCGGACCAATTAGCGCCCCACAGAGCTATCTTAAAAGTTTGCCTGTGTATGTGTGTGTTTACGTGTTCAATAGCTGAGTGGAAATTTTTATATATATATATATATATATATATATATATATATATATATATATATATATATAGTAGCAAATGCCCTTGTTACAATATGATACTTAGAATGTTCTATTGAGATTTTCAAATGTTGTTATATATTTATACACACACACACACACACACACACTCGCTTTTACCGCAAGTCTGGCACAAGGGTAGAAAAAAAGAAGTCTGTGGAAAGTTGGTCAATAAACATATTTGCAACACTTAATGAAATAAATCTTCCATATCTGCCTTTCATCTTTCTTTCCTGCCTTTCATCTTTCTTTCCTCTTCTCTCTCTCTTCCCTCTTTCTATTTCCTTCCCTTCTTCCTCTTTCTCCCTCCCTCCTTCCTCTTTCTTTCTCCCTCCTTTTTCCATACCTCCCTCCTTTTTCCATACCTCTCTCCTTTTTCCATACCTCTCTCCTTTTTCCATACCTCTCTTCTTTCTCTTTCTCTCCACTTATACCCCCGTTTCTTTTTTCATTCTCCCTCCTTTTTTCTGTCCCATCCACCTTTCATCTCTCTTTTTCTACCCCCCCCCATTTAATTGTTTCCTTTACTTCTAGTTGATCTGAACGGACAGATTTTTTGTGGCCACTCAACTATCACCCCGTATTCTTTATGTAATAAATATTGTTTACGCCTTTTTTTGCCTCTTCTCCCGAATGTATTATTCGTTTTCGATCCGAGTTGCTAATACGACTACTTCTACAATTACTACTGCTGCTACCTTCTCCCACACCGCTGTGATTTGTTCGGCAGGAGTGGTGGGGAGTTAGCGTGCGAATCCAAGATCGATTCTTGCTGGTTGCATTAAATTAAAAACATTATTTCTTTTTGTTGTGAAAACTTACTTAACTGTTTACTTAACTGTTTCTGATTTTAATTCTCTTGCAAAGATGTTTTCGCGTGACTAGAATCCGAAGGAAGAAAGCTTCTTTTCCAAAATTGTCGACATTTGTCGACGACAGTCAATAAGGAAAAAAAAATAAAACAGATTCGAAGTGAGATTGAAACTGTCCAGAAGAAAATTGACGGATTTTACGGGAATTTTGAATAGGTTGATTCTCTCAACCCCAATTTTCAGATATTCTGAAGACGGTTGGGTTGGGGTAAAGACTGGATATTCTATTTACATTATTCGGACTATTGTCCTCATCTTTGTTGCCATATTTATTACGTTTCCACTGTGCCATTTGTCCTTGAGGGCATATGACACAGTGGATAAAGGCGTTAGATAGATCCAGTGACAGGACCCAAAGTGCGTGAGTTCAATACCTGGTTAAGACAGTGGAGAACTTAGGGGAATTAACAGGAGATAACTGACAACCATTAAAACATGGCCCGTGGAACTAGAACAGTCTACCCCAGTGAGCGAAATAAAGGGTTCAGTTCGACATTCCAACCACCTGAAGAAGGCCGGAGCGTACAACGGCCGAAACGTTGTAATAAATATGGCGACAAAGATGAGGACAATAGTCTGAATAATGTTAGTAGTGTACATAATACCTCATCTCAGAAATATAGACAGACACTGGATATTATTTTAATATTCAAATAATTTCAGACCTAATATAATATTGACTGACTTGTTTTTACGGCTTATCAACCTGTTTGTTGATTATTTAAAGACAGAAAATATTTTTATATTGTAAGAATTTTTTGTTGGACACGGGTGGGAGAGCTAATGATTTAGTGATACAAGTCTTACTAATAAACCCATAGCTAGGTGGGGATAAGAGGATTCATCCATTCCCCAAGGGTATTTGCCCCTAAGTGAACTCGCCGTTGTTTAATTTCGGTGATCGTACGGGAACTGGTGTTCCGACGTGATATGGCCACAAGCCTTTGATATCTAGTAATACTTTGAGATACAGGCGTACCGACATACGAGTTTGTTTTTTTTTTCTTTTTTAGATACGAGCTGGAAATTTTACCTTGAGATACGAGCGAGTTTCATTTAAGTATCTGCAGTACACGTGTTCACCTCTGTTCTGGAAGCATCTCTGTTTTGTTGTCTTTTTCCCCCCGTTATTTTGCGAAATTCCTTTAGTGACGCTATGGGTCCGAAGAAAGTAAGTGGAAAGAGCATTGCTGAGTTGTTAGGGGTCTGGAACTAAATAGGAGGACATTGATTTGAGATACGAATCTTTTGAGTGAGGAACTCGTATCTCGGAACGAATTAAACTCGTATCTCAATATATTACTGTATAATGAAACAAACAAAAAACATACATATACACACACACACACACACACACACATATATATATATATATATATATATATATATATATATATATGGGGAGTTGATGTTGAAAAAGTTATTGGCTTTTAAGGCTTCTTCAAATTAGACCTATTTTGTTTACTTAATATTTTAATGTTTTTTTTTTTTGGCTGGGTCCGATAACTTTCAACACTATTCCTGTTTTAGAAAAAAGAACATAAAATTATTAATTAAAATTTATATATAAAAATTAATGGCAAAAAAAATAATGTATATCAAAATAAGAAATACTTGTCTAATTTTAGAATTCAGCAAGTTAAAGTCTCGGATTTTTTAAACAAAATATTGATGAAAGCACAATTATGAAAAACATTACATAAATTTATTAATTATTTAATTTCATGAAAAAAAATGTACGGTAGCTGATGGATCAGCCTTCTCTGTAAAAAAAAAAAATTCTTTCTTTTTTTTTTTTTTTTTTTTTTCTTCCTTTCTTTTCCTTCGCTCATCTGTACCGATTTTCATAGAAGCGACTCTTACGACGACGACAACAAACGATTCTTGCAACTGCTTCCTCTACCATTGTGAAAGATCTCTCTTTGGTTACGAAGAAAGTTCTAACTCTCCGACTACTACGAGGTCTCAGCGCTCTCTCTCTCTCTCTCTCTTACTACTACTACTACTACTTGCCTCTGGAAATATTCTCTTGCCGTTTCAACCGCGACTTTTTACCGTTTCCAGCAACGTTCATGTCGCTTACAGGACGGAGGACAAACACAAGGAATTTTGAAGTTATTTA